ACGGTAGCGGAGGCAGCAACAACGGGGGCGGAATGAACCACCACCACGCACATCACAACCAGGTGTCACCCGACCTCAGTGAGGCCTTGCGGTTACAGGAGCAGAGGCTAGAGCAGGCCCTGCGACTCCATGGGGGGGATCCCCGCGCACTAGGCTTCAGCCTGTCCAGTAGCTCTGGAAACTCGCAGAACCAACAGCAGCAACAAAACAACCCATGAAGACTCAGTTATTATTAATTAAATAATGCAGGAAAAATTTAGCATGGAATAAACTATATGCATGTGAATTTATATATAAATAATATTGAAACTACTGGTAGTCCGAATAAGTAGGGAAGAACAAATTATATGTGTGATTTTTGTTATTAAATATATAATTTAAGAAAAATCGAAGAGAATGTGCAAGTTTTCTGAAGAGAGAGAACGGAATGGAACGCAACCTGTGTAACCAATCCACCGTTAGCCAAGCAAGATTTAGAGTAACAATTGTACGTGGCAGTATGTTGTTGCAATTGCTCTGAGTGTCTCATATGTACATATATACACGTGTGTGTGATTGTGACAAAAATGTACTTTGTTTTTCGTGAAAGAAACAACAGAAAACGTTGCCGAGATAGAAAGTTAGTTACTTTAGGACATTTTTTCGGTCAAACGAACACAAAGAAATTATTCCAAAAATTATTTTACCGTTTGGAATGATGATAAAAAAATCGCTATAGTAAATGTTTTCAAACACAGTCTGTCCATATTTTGAAATAGTAACTATTTATTTTTAATAACAATTCCTACTATTTTCTTTTTAAAAAAAGTCATCAGACAATTAGTGAAATGAGTATATTTTAATTATATAAGCCTATATTAGTTTTTATAAGACTGCGCAATTTAGTTCGAAAAGAAACATTGGCTGTGATTATCATTATTTTTTATTTAGGATAGAGTCAAAACTTTTTCAGTCTATGAGACGATTATTTATCGAATTAGTTCCTTTTATGTTCAATTATATTTTGTCTTTATGGCTTTAATTTCATTTTTAATCGATATTTAAAAATAGCGTGCAGATAAGCCATAAAACGGACAAGATGTTTGAAGCAATATTTTATTAGTTAGTTTCAGAAAGTGTTTATCTTCAGTTCATAATCACAGTAGCTGTTGTTATTACGCGATATTTTTTTCATTTGTTGCGCAGTTTCGGGTTACGTTATATGTGTTTGAATTAATAGTGTGAATGGTTAGAGTGAATGAAACTAAATTTTCTTCCGTGTTTAAGTCGAAATGTTGAAGGTAAGAAAGTAATATCACAGCGCAATTAGTATAAAATTGTGATGTTACTTCATTTCGACAACGTTCTCGCTATAGCTCAACGTAATCATAGAATCTACAAATTGCCTAAAAATAAAATACAAAACGTATTGGATGCTACAC